ATCAATGTTATCGGTTGTTACTGGACAGGACAGACGGCTAGAGTTGGGGTTCGTGTACAGAAGCAACTGCGGGTCCCCGTACCAACTACCAACTACCACGTGTTTTACTGCCTTGCACTGTCAAACCAAACTAGGTCAATAAATTGTTTCCTTTCAAAAAAAGCCGGAGTCGTCCCCTTCTTTGACGGCTCCGGCTCCGGGCAAAATGTGCCGGCTCCGGCGGCTCTGGCTCCAGCTCCGCCTCCGGCTCCGGCTACGGCTCCGGCCCCGCACCCCTGGGTATAGTATAGGTATAGGTATAGCCCTCGCCCGTATTGGTGTTTTTCCAGCCGGGAACGTATGAGGGGGGGGGGGGGGTCCGTTGGACCCCCCCTTGCCCTTTCGCCCCGGATCGAGCTAGAGGTTTGCGGAAAAAACGAGCGTGCTGCCCGTGACGAGAGGAAGCCGATGATACCCAACTTTAAGGTCCTAGGTCATTGGTTGACCTTCCAGGTCAGGTCAATGACCCAAAAGTTGGTGAAATCGGGACCTGTTAGAACGTCGTAAAGTGCGGCTGCTATGGGTTTTTTTCGGGGTGCTGATCACGAATGTCATGTTAGTTGTGATCACAGATGATGTCTTCATGCATTTAGGCCAGGTCGGGTCAGGTCAGGTCAGGTCATCCAGTAGGGGTCCTGCTGGGTATTCGTAGTAGGTGTCAACCGCCTCTGACAGCTTCGTAACATGTTACGAAGGCACCAAAACAACTTCGTAAATGTTCATATGGTTGCTTAATTCGAATTCAGCTCCAAAAACTGGCCTAGAACCATGTAAAACGCGAAAAAGTGAACCGAGGTCATCAAAAGTCAATGACTTGACCTGACCTTCAGGTGATCTTGACACCCACCCTAATGCATGGGGGCAACATCATATCACATGTTTGAACGCTTGAAACCTCGAAAAGACTGCAAAAGCGCGGCTAATGCGAGCAGACGCCCGACATACGCCGAATCGCGATTCCGGCCAAACATGGTCTCGAAAAGTAGGTCACAGGTCAAAGGTCATTTGGGTCAGGATCATGAAATTTTCAGGGTAGGTGTAAAATTGATCAACTCGAGGGTATTGAAAGTTTCGTCGCAATCGGCCGCTTTTTGAGCGAGTTATTCGCGAAAAAACGAGGGGAGGGGGTCCGTTCGACCCCCCCCCCCCCGCTATACGGGCGAGGAATAGGTTAGGTATAGGTATAGGTATAGAGGTAATGCATATGTATAGGTTTAGTCTTATGCTGCATGCTGCATCTGTGGTACTGCATGTTTGGATGAATGCTGTAAGCTCACAATTCACATAATCTTTCGATGAGTCCGGCTCGCCTCTGCGCTCGGTCCGACTGATTGAATGATATTTCTCGTGCTGCATAGTTCATAGTGACATTGCTCGTGCTATCTCGTGGTGGCATCAAGGCGTTATTTTATCATTCACATGATCGTAGAAGTACCTATTTATATTTTATTTATTTTTGGAATCGGGACAGCGGTAAAAGTAATAACCACTCGGCTTTGTATCAGTGAAGCCACACGTGACACGAACTTATCGAAGCTCGTTCAATCTGGATTGTCCTATAACTAATAGCATAGGAGAGACCCGGGAGGTATGGGCCGGTTTAGTTAAATTACAATTTTCTTCCAGTGGGCAGTCGCTAGACCTGACTTTTCACTCTGTGTACGTAAAATTGTCTTTCGCCTGTAAAGTGTGCCTGATATTAGGCATCTGCCTCTGGGATCAACTATTTTGTCTCGAGGTAACTTTTATCTTGCGCTTTATCGATCCATCAAAATACACCGGGAGGTATGGGCCATGGCCCGGGACGTATGGGCCGGTGTCATGTATCATATTCTTTTCTCGACATTGAGCACAATGCTCGTAGCTGGGATCTACCTTGAGCTCTCTTAGAGCCCAGATACCGCATAAGCGGCCAACAACTTACTGGGCACATATTTATTTTGGTAAACTCAATCATGTTCCATGAAATAAGCCAAATAATATTTTTTGTTCGAATGTAATTTGTACTTAAATTTTCGACCTTTAGCGACAAAAATAAAGCTTATTGAAGAGGACATTAAATTAAAGCATCATTTTATTGGTTTAGGATCACCGGGGTGGGGTGGCCCGAACCTCCCGTTTAATACGCCAGAATGCGCGTAGAATCTCAGCTCATAATCTTGCAATAAAACTTTAAATTGTCTACCCAGTCTGAATTTACATGCTTTAAATTTTATGTTAGCGATGGTCTGACATAATGAAACGAGCCTGGCTCACATTAATCACGAGTTTTCTGTATGTACCGCGTTTTACTCGAAGAGTGCAAAAATCGCTTTATCGCCGTTCATTGAAGGCTGAGGAAGGTTTTGGAAATCACGTGGGTTGTATAACGAAATGGTTGCTACCAGTTCACGCGGTCAAATGTGTAAAAATACGCATCACTTTTTCAAACTGCGATGGCCCATACCTCCCGGGGCCCATACCTCCCGGGTCTCCCCTATGTATATGTTTTGAATGTACTGGATCATGCTGTTTGGTATAAGTTGATAAAGTCCTCTGTGTGGTCTGGTGGATAAGGCCTCCGTCTCGTAACTCAGTGACAGTGAGGTCGCGGCCGGGAAGCTCCAACGTCGTCTGACCCCTTTTCTATGTTCAGCCAGCTGGTAACTGGCGAGAGAGGGCCACGCTAGACCCAGGAGGACCATGCCGCCATCTAACTGCGATATGTTAAACTTCCGATTAAAATTATCGTCGGTGAACCGGGTGCGGGCAAGGTCGGGTGGTGGGTGCGTGGTGTCATTCGCAACAAGCACTGCTTAGCGTGGCACCGAGCTGGGGATGCCCGGGAGCAACAAAGCCGCCGCCGCCCTAGCGGTGACTTTGACATCCGCCGTCTGTTGCTGCTCCAAAGCCAAGCCGGCGTGGAATTGAGAGAGCTCGGGCACCCCGAGCTCGGCACAAACTTCCACCTTTGACCGGAGCCCCAAATCGTTCCGTCTTTTCAGTTTTCCGTCCTCAGGACAGTCAAATTCTTCTCCTCCACACCTGAAACCCCTGCTCCGGGCTGGGTGGGCATTTTTATCCCATGCGGGAAGCTCCCATAGGAGCACGCCCGTAGCCGGGTGCAATGAGTGTTTTGGGGGCTGGGTGGCCTGTCCACTGGATGGGTTCAGCTCCGACGACTCCCTAGGGTGCCCACTGCCTGTCCATACCAATGTATCCGGTCTCCCCCAAATTGCTATCATCCTTTCGGCTCTAAAATGGTCTCGTTAGACCAAAAGAGCCTAACCCAACAAAGCAAGCAAGCAAGCAAACAAACAAACAAACAAACAAACAAACAAACAAACAAACAAACAAACAAACAAACAAACAAACAAACAAGCAAACAAACAAACCGGGTCCAAAGCTATCCATTCATTCAATCGGACTATTTTTTTATTAATGAACTCAGTTTTGTCCCCTTCCACAATGAATCGCTTGAGGCTGAGGTCGGGTCGGAACGTTCGAGAAGTATTTTAGATACCACATATCTTCAGCGTGATTCGAATGATAGCATTAGAAATGTTACAATTTCTTTATGTTAGCGAAATGATTTTGTCTTATTTTAACTTATACTATCGCAATTTACTTGCATAATTGTATAACAATAACTTTATGATATACCTAGCCATCTTTGCAAAGTTGCTTTAATCTAAGAATACGTGTGTACAATTTAAGTGTGTGAACCGAAGGTTTAATTTGAGGATCAAGCATATTTCTGTGAGTGGCCCGTGAACTGCGCGGCGGATGTCTGGTACTGTGGACACTGGATAGTTGTTTGGACTGGGCTGAAGGCCACGTGCCGGCGCGGCGCGGCGGTCGGACCGCACTCGGTGGTGTACCGCGCGGCGGCGCTCGGCGGCGGCCGGTCCGGTGACCCTGGCTGATCGGTCGGCGCGCGTCTGTTCCAGCCACCGGCGGCGCGGCGGCCATGCTGCAGACCGGCCGGCAGTACCTAGACTTGGCCGTGTTCTTCGTCTGCTTCTGCGGCTCCGTCTACAGCAATAAGTATGTGCTCACCTCGCTCCACTTCACCTACCCGACCATATTCCAAGGCTGGCAGACGCTGTTCGGCCTCGTCTTCATCAAGCTGGTGACGCTGTGCAGCAAGCAAGAGCGGCTCTACGGCCTGGACAAGCCAGGCTTCCTCTCCCTGCTGCCAAACTTCCTCTTCTTCACCGGATCTGTGGTGGCCGGCTCCAAGGCGCTGGCCGACATATCTGTACCCATCTTCCTGGCCGTGCAGAATGTCACCGCAGCGCTGGTGTACATCCTGGACCACGCGCCGCGCTTCAAAGGCGCTTCGGCCGTGTCCCTGCTGGGCTCAGCCTTCCTGGTCATCACCGCCGCGCTCATCGTGCTGCTGGACCTGGACATGACGTTCAAGGACTCGCCGTACTTCTGGTTGATGACCCACATCGTCTGCAGCTCGGTGCAAACCCTCCACGGCCGCGTGGCTGACGCGCGCTACTCGGACATTGACCGACTCTACTACAGCTACCTGGTCAGTGTCATCGTACTGGCGCCGTCCAGCCTCTACCTGGAGGAGGCCTTCCTGGTGCTCGATTTCCCCTACAAGAGCCAGGCGGACTTCCTGGCCGGCTGCCTGGTGTCGGGTATCAGCGCCGTGCTGCTGGCCATATTCAGTATCCACGTGCAGGAGGTGCGGTGCGCGGCCAGTGTCCACGGCGCCGCGCGCTCTCTGGCCGCTCTCGGCAGCGTGTTCCTGTTCAGTGACACCAAGATGGCACCGGCCGTCGCCATTCTTGTGGTGATCAACATGTGCGCCTCGCTGTTGGTGGCCTGGCTGCCGCGACAGACGCTGCAGCTACCGACCGAAAAGCGGCCGCCACCGGTCATTTCGAGGGACGACGCCGAGCAGGGCAAGCCGCTCATTGAGGCCAGCGATGATGAGAAGTAGGGCTGACAGGCGCGGCTGTGCGCAGAGGTCGGTGCTCAGTGGGACTCTGTGTGGAATCACGGTATTGTGCCGCGCTGTTAGTGGGGGTAAGCCGTCACATTGTTGGTGTCTCGGTCTCGGTAAAGTGTCCCGGCATGGCGTTGCATTGTGGGCCTTGGAACGGTGCGCGTCTCAAATGGTGTTGACTGGGGGCTGTGTGCTGTGCGGCTGTCTTCCGGGACCAGTGGTGTCTTCCGTTCTCGATACCGAGCCATTCACACGGCCTCGTGTGGCGTGGGTCACATGTGTCTCAAATTAGTCGGACAGTAGTACTTCAGGTGCACTTTTGCATGTAGATGTAGTAGTTTTCAACAGCTTATTCAAATACTGGTGCGAGTACTTACCCTTTATTTTGGTACTATGCTTGCTTCGTGACGTTGCACTCCTTTATGGATCTCAGGGTATTGCGGTTATGCTATAAATCACGTTATAAATTGTATATTATAAATCATAATATAGATTTCCAGCCATACATGAGTCATCCTCTTGATTGCTTTTAGAAGAGTTTTGATGGGTAGGTGTAAAGCAGGGGTACTTCAGAGTTCACGTTACTTGCCGCCTACCGCCTTAGGCTTGCTACAAAACTTAATTTACATTATAGCCTGTCCTTGAAAACATGACTTGCTTACGCCAGCAGATTGTTAGTTGTCCCAGAACATCGTCTGACTTGTGTTTTGCCATTTTCTCATGTACCCGGCCCGTGTATCTAATATGTCTATATAATACCAATAGGAGTCGCCAAAAGATAGTACCTGAGTCGTTTGAATCAGGTTAAATGTATTGGATTCGCTGATCGTTATCACAAGGGTAATATCTCGTGATTTATGTTTGACCTTGTCAGGAAAATGTTTGGGAGATTTACGATGTTTTTAGCTTTCGTTCGCGTTACTTTGAGAAAAGGAGGGTGGTATGAGGGTTTTTATATTCTCTCCACTGTCATTGAAGCGATTCTAGCAAAGCCAGATTGAGATTCTGTGTGTATGTACGTTTAGCTGATGCATCTATTCAGGACTACCTGGCTAGCCAATATTCCGTTAAGCTGTTGAATCTTTTGAATGAGGTGTTTTAAGCATTACTGTAAGCTGTTTCTTGTGCACAGTTTCTAATCGTTCAGCCATAGACCTCTGTACACCGGTCAGAGGTCTATCATCTATGGTTCAGCGTATATGCCTGTCAACTTTGGGTCACACATATAAGTATTAACTTATTCGCCGACGACAACGAAAGAAAACGTAAGCGTATGTAGATAGCCGATGAGGATGTTGATTGTGGTTGATGCCAATCTCTTTTCCTAAACTTATTTGCGATTAGGCTTCCTCTTATCGGCTTATGTTCTGGTCTGTGGAGCGGTGGAACATTGCTGTGAAAGTATCGCTTGGCGGTCGAGTGTAGACACAGATATGTCTATTTTTCTGATGGGTGGTGTGCTGTTAGAGATCGCTTTGCGCGCAGATCTTGCTTGAGGTTAAAATAAAATATGAACTGTCAGTAGGTATTTGTCTGGAGTGTGTCCCAGCTGATGTAATCCAAAGAAGAATATACTACACAATTTTGGTACTGAAGCCATTCCTCATGACATTTGACGCCACTACGGCATCATGAAGAACGTAGGACAACTGTCGTTACATTTTCTGCGAGGCGATCTTTTTTTCAAATTCGTCCGTACCTCCTCGTCATGGATGGCAAAATGTCAGTCACCCACATCTCTGTACGTGCACAGCCCTCTGACGTTTCGGCGCATCTAATTTCCAACGGTGAGTTAGGCTTGATTTGTTTTGTATCTGAGTATCTGAGTGAGTAAGACATTTACTGTCCATTATACAAAGTTGTTCATGCTTCATAAGTTTTCAAAGTTTTGTTTAATGAGATGTTTCGTTTCCTCTCGCGCTGCTGGGTGAGGCTACATCATAGTGCTATACATATACCATTCTGTGCTATATCCGGGATTATTTCACAACGAAAATAAGACAGTGCTCCCTTTGCGAATAGGCCAAGTTTCTGGCCAATGACCAGGGGTGGATAATTGTGCCGAGTTGGGGTAGCACGAGCTTTCCCAATTCCACGCCGACTTGGCTTTAGAGCTGCAACAGACGGCGGAGGTCAAGGTCACCGCTAGGGCGGCGGCGGATTTGCTGCGCCCGTGCTACCCCAACTCAGCACATTTGTCCACCCCTGCCAATGACCACTTCCCAGCCGTTCCCCGCTCGTACCCCGTCGTGCCTAATTCCTGTCCGCGCCCTGCCCTTTCATCTCCCGTGCCGTGCCCCACCCGCTGGGCTCCGCTCATCCCCTTCCCTTCCCACCATATTTACCTACTTTGGTTTATAACCCTGATGGACTCTGCCCTTCCCCGTCTTTGCTTTGCTTGCAAGGTGCTTCGGTCTAATCGGACCATTGCGCCCGTCTCCGTCTGACTGTAGTTACTTTTATATACTTCTCCCCACTGTATTTATTTTGTTTATATACTCCACCCCACCTAATTTCCTTTGTTTATACACCCCGCCCCGCCAGACTCAGTCCATAGCCCCCCTCCCCCAGTCCTCCCCGCCGGCCGTAAGACGGGTTGATGCCCCCATAAAACTGGCCTCCGCCGTCGGTCGACTCGGCTCGGCGCCAGGCGTTGCCACACCCACCGCCGGCTAACGCTGATTGGTCCAGCCGAGTCCAGCCCAAGGGCGGCCACGGGCGGTGGCTGTACAGTAAACAGGTAACGGTGTGTGGATGCCGTGGATATTACCCAGCTAAACTCCCCGAGATCGCGTGCATCGAGTACACCGGTGTGACGGTACGTGAGCTGGCCAGTCCGCAGATACGTGGGACCGTTTCGGTGCAGCTGCGCCCGCGGCGCCGCGCGGCGGCTCCGGCCCGGCCGGGGCGTCAGTCGGCCGCGGCAGGTACCGGTCGGCGGTGGGCGTCTGCTGGCGCTGATATCTGACGGTGTGCCCGCTGACGCTGCTCCCCGACTGCCCGCAGCGCACCGGCCGCACCATGCAGACCGTGCGGACTCCGGAGACCGCCCCTGAGGGGCCGGTCAGGTCGCTGATCGGATCGATCCAAAGCTCTGTGGTGGTGGTCGGCTCGGCACTGGTCGTGCTCGCCGCCTGCGGCAACTCCATCACATGGTGAGTTCCGGACGCTCCGGCTCTGGGAAAACTCTGTCACGTGGTGAGAGAACTCACTGCGCGCCCCTTACGATCCTTCGTTAGATGGTGAGTCCTTCGTACTTCGTCACAGACAACTCCGTCACATGGTGAGTGAAGCCCCCCCCCCCCCCTCCGCGGCCGCTTGACTAATGTTTTGGGCCTCGTCCAATTCACTCTCCTGACGTATAGACGCAGACCTTGACGCTGTAAGCGTCGTCACACATCCTAGATTACCTCGAGGCCCTCGATGTTCGTTCACATAAGCCCATAAAGCCGTGCCCTGTAAGCCTAAAAAGCCTAGACCTGTCGGCCATAATGATCTCCAATGTCCTGGAGTTGCTGGAACGATAATGGGCCATTATCGACGGCTCCAGTAGACTGTGACCTGATGCATCCCGAGTTCTAGCCTCACGGATCTTCTCTCATATTGTTGAGATGATCTTTGGTTAAAAACCGGTTAAGAGGGGGGGGGAGGTGACCTTGCCAGTCGTGAGAATCCCAGATCCGCTGCGTTGTCCGTTATTCTCTCTCTAGCGTTGCGTTTAGCCAGATCTGCTGTCCGAGTTGTGACGTGAGCGACGAGGGTGGTCTTCCAACCTGCCTCCCCTCTGCCCCCTCCCCTTCCCGCCTAAGCCGTGACTGATGGGTCAGGCCGGGAGGGTTTGTGGAGGGCTAATGAGGTGTTCAATAAACGTAACAAACGTGTGCTACGAGTTAAATTCAGAACTTGCAGTCAGCCGTACCTATTTGAAATTAGTCGAATGTAATTTGTTGTCCGACTTACCACCGAACACACGTATCTGACATTCTTAAGTAGGTTCAACTTCAATTGATCCTAAATTGATAACTTATCAATGCAATAATCGCCTTGTGATTATTATCACACCGTCACCTTTATTGCGTCCCGTGAAAATGGGATATTTTTGGTGTTTGTTGAACAGCTCGAGATGAATGGCGGTTGTTTTTTACGTTGCCAGGCACCTGCAGCAGTTCTGGGGCACGTCGGGTAACCTGTGGCAGTCCATCTGGGACCGGGTGTACGACTACTTCGAGGGCGACCAGTTCAACATCATACTCTATGGTAAGCTCCCAGCGGGCGGGCTTATCGTAACTGGTCAGCCTCGTAACAGGTCACTCATACATTGATTGCCCTTTTGGAAACAGTTATACAGCCGGCCAGTCAACCGCCCTTTCGCCCAATCACCCAGCCTTATGAGCTTGTTTCAGATTTCATCTCTTTCATGTTGAATGAATCGAGTCCTTTTCGGTAGCATAGATGTTCAAGGCAGATACATGATTGCTCTATCAAGAATCGAGGCTCTAAAAACAAGGTACTATCTATGTGAACCGATAACGTGTGCGTTCGATGAGAGGTGCCAGGTTCATAGTCCATCGTCCAATGACCTTGCGGAGCGCAGCGGCATGACGACACACCTTCGTTTCGAAACAAACAGAAACGTGTTTGAGCCGTCATAAAACTTGACCCGTCTTATAGCGTGATGATCAAATAAGCCCCTTTTCAGGTGGTGGATTCAGAGGGGCGGGAGCCTCAAGAGCCATGTGTTTAAGACGAGTAGCCGTTTGGTGTCGGATCTGCCCCACAGTTGACAAATGCCGATGATATATGTATTCAATAAGAAGTCAGTCGGTGAACCGGGCGTAGGAAGGCAATGTGTTGGGTCGGTGATTGGGTCCACGGAGCTACGCAGTGTGCTCTGCCGTTCGGACACCTAAGCCCTTAGCCGACCGTTCGGACAAAAGATTATCAATATTGTGAACTTAGTAAGCCCAGATGTCCTCCATTCGCAGGTGGTAAATAAACTGTAGCGTTAACAGTTCCCTTATTCCTTTGATATGATCTCCATTATCGAATGAGCCGGACTCCCATAGCATCTGCGCGTTACAGGCACGCCAGTGTTGGGCCTGGCCGGTAATTCTGACGGCCTGTGTGTCTGTGCGTCACAGGCACGCCGCTGTTGAGCCTGGCCGGTAATTCTGACGATATGTGCTCTGTGCGCTTCAGGCACGCCGGCGCTGGGTCTGGCCGTGTTCTGGTCGGCCGGCATCGTCTACATCCTGATGGACGTCACTCTGCGGCCGGAGACGCTGCGGCGCTACAAGATTCAGCCGGGCACCAACGAGCCAGTCGACACCTACCGCCTCCTGCAGGTCGGTGTCGTTGTAGAGGGTCGTACTTCTCTGTAGCTGAATTAGTTAACTTATTACTGTCGCTAAGTTATCGGCTATCTCGGCTTTTATGTGGCCTTGCTTAGGCATATTTATTCCACGGCGACGTCCGCCCGTAAATGTGGGTCAACAAGTGCTTTGTAGATGAGTAACGGTTTCAAAACGTTATCTGTTATCTGTCTGGAAAAAGTGTGAGTCAAGGCCGTATATGGGTTGTAAAGGATATTAACTCTTTCCAAATGAATGTGATTTGATTCATTGATTGCAGAAGTACAATGTTCAAACTTATGCACAAGGCTGTAGAACTCTGTTCTAGAACATCACTCGTTCACAGCCTGCCAACTTCGATATTGATAACCTGCAAACGCTTGGTAAGGACCATGGTAATGGTTTTGAAAGGCCCGACATTTTCCATCTATTCGGCTATTCAGGCCACGCTTTTCATGTCGAGCCATTCAATAGAGCGCTTTCAGGCCCTGTCACCGCCTCGGCATTCACCGTGTGTTCAGGGGTAAACACCGACTGACGACTGGGGCGGTATCTCGACAGGCGATCTTTTGGGTGCTGTTTAATCAGACCGTGGTGGGACTGCCCTGTATGCTGGTGTTCTACAAGCTGCTGGAGCTGCGCGGGTTCGACACGGGCCGCGAGCTGCCTACCTTCCACTGGGTGCTGCTCGAGATCGCCGTCTGCCTGCTGGTCGAGGAGGTGGCCTTCTACTACAGCCACAGGTCAGTACTTCGTGCCGCTGACCTGCCGTAGGTCAACAGTTTGTTCCGCTGACCGGTCACGGGTCAGGCGCTACTGAACGGCCACGAGTCAGCAGTTCATACAGTTAAATCGGTCACAGGTCAGTATAATGTACCGCTGACCGGTCACCGGTCAGCACAACTTGCCGCTGACTCGTCACAGGTGACCGGTTAATGGCCACAGGTCACATGTGACCCCGTTACCGGTCCAAGTCAGCAGCCTGCGCCATGCTGTCTTGATAAATGAAGAAAGTTCAATGTTCAAGCATGACCTCTGAGGGGTGACCATTCCTATTTTTATCTGACTATTGATGCTGGTAAACAGTGACCCAAAAATATGTCTTGGCTTGGGTGTCGGAGGGGAATATTCGTCACTACAAAAAGGGCTGAGAGTGAAAAATTGAGTCAGAACGGCACAAAAAAGCGTTGAAAACAGGGATCAACAATTTATTTGTGAATGTTAGAGGGTGCAGGAGCTGCATTATAGGATGACTAATACAACAGGGAGTGAAAAATCGCTCTGGAAAATTGGAGGTGAGAGTGGAATATTATTTTGATTTAGGTGTCGCTTCACACCCAAACCGGCAAATTTTGGGACACTGCTGGTAAAATACATTAAACTGAAATGCCGCTGCTCGTCTCACGCTCGCAGACTGCTCCACTCGCCGCGGCTGTACAAGAAGATCCACAAGTGGCACCACGAGTGGACGTCGCCCATCTCGATCACGGCTCTGTACGCGCACCCGCTGGAGCACGTGCTGTCCAACTACCTGCCGCCGTTCCTGGGCGTGCTGCTGCTGGGCAGCCACGTGGCCACTGCCTGGCTGTGGTTCAGCATGGCGCTGCTCTCGACCATCAACGCCCACTCGGGCTACCACCTGCCCTTCTTCCCAAGCCCGGAGGCGCACGACTTCCACCACCTCAAGTGAGTCGCGCGCGCACACACGTAGCCGTGCAGAACAGAAAACCGGGCGACCTCAAATGTGACCTCATGGTTGGTTACGACCTCATACGTGTTAATTCTTAGCTGCAGCACACCAAAATACTCGTGAACTTCTCAGCTTTACGCATTACGCAGTCATTCATTGAACAATGAACAAGTGCATCGAATGAGCTGCTTTTAGTGATAAACTTTGTCCCATTAGTTTGCGTCGTTATGACCCTGTGCCGTCGTTGTGGGCAGGTTTAACCAGTGTTACGGCGTGCTGGGGGTGCTGGACCGACTGCACGGCACGGACGACAAGTTCCGGCGGCGGCCCGAGTACCAGCGCCACGTGATGCAGCTCAGCCTGGTGCCATTGCGTCAGATGTACCCCGACCAGCAGAAGGGCGCCAAGGCGGAGTGACCGGCTGGGGCGCCCCCACCTCACTGACCCTCTCCCTCCCCTCCCGTCTCCCTCCGCTGGGTCAGTGCTCTCCGCTTTACGTAGGCTGCAGAGTCCCCGACCCGAGTCTCTGGTTACCAATGAACTAAGCGGGATGCAGGTTACTTTGTTCAAGTTGCATGTTATATTTAGAGTATTTGTTTAACACAGATCTAGGATTTGATCTGCCTTCCAAAGTTATCCGCTAAGCCCATGCCACAAGGTAGGTTCATTTCGTAATGCCTCCTCATATCACGATCGTTATATAAGGCTGTGTTCAGCCCAGCCTTGGCCCAGTGATTCGCAGTTCGCTGAACACGATTAATAAATAGTCACAAAATTTGTGCACTGGATTTCTCAACTCCGTGGCCAGAGGTTAAGCAGATGTTAGCCTTTCCAGCGTTGGCCTTCTACATCTTCAGTCCCTGCAAATTGTTGGGCTAGACTTATGACGTCATTTGTCAAAAGAATTGGCACTTGCTCATCAGAACCAGTCCGGCCCTGCGAACCAGATTCAGTTCAGGTAAATCCCTCTCGCAATAACTGCGTATGCAAGGAATAGTATCAACCCTATCCCCTCCCCAAGGCTTAGTGAATTCCCAGCAAATTTGCTGCTTTGTATTTCATGTCTAATATGTTTAAACGAAATGTGATGAGATTATGTGTGACGTGTACGACAATCTGTACCGATTAAATTGCACTGCATACATGTTGCATGACGGCATCCAGTAGTGCACGTTGGTTTTGCGTTTCTCGAATCGTGTATAACAGTAGCTCGTGAAGATAATGATAACAATAAACGCACCCAACGAATAGCCCTGGTACAATAATGTTCTGGAGGCGGCAGAGGTTCCGAACATCAACATTCGACACGCAATGGTGCATTCACATCATTCACGCGATGCACTGTACCGTTTCGCAAATTCCGCAGCGGTGTTTCTATAAATGTGGCAAGGAGTTATTTCCCAACAAGCACTAAAACACAAAAGTGAGCATGTTCAATTGCAGGCGGCATCAGCTATCTATTCCCAAGTAGGGTGTCATGACAACACCAAGCAACGACCCTTCTTGTTTTAATCATTTTAGGCTAATCCTTCACCGGTGCTGGCTCATATAAATCACAGCACGGTTTAATAGATGGCGCCGTTGGGTACACAATCGAGTGGATTGATGGACATAATGCCCGTGCTATTGCCTATTACCTTCCAAGAAAGTGTATTGATCACGGAAAAGCAGGTTGGTCAATGGTCAGGGAGTCGAGGCTTTTATAGCCCTGGTCGAAGCCTACTCACTTCACGCATTTGTTGCATTCTCCATCCTTATCGCCTTGCGATATCTACAAAAATAACGAAGCTAACACCAATCCTTCACGATAGTTTTACATCCGTAAGAACTTAAACTTCAGAGAACATCACAGGTTGGTCAAAAAGAAGGTGTAGGAGAGAGTTCTCTGTTATGCGCGAGACGTAAAGAACTACGGTCAGTTAACGCATACAGCACCCGTTGCCACCGCCATTGGATATGTTCCTGGTATGTATCGTAATACTTGACAAGTATATGGATTTTGTGCGTTGCCCTATAAACAGACCTCCAATGCCTTTGTTTCCTTCACGTCCCTTTGAGCTACAGTGTTTACCCTCATTACCTTTTACAACAGGCTCGGTTGGGTCCGAGGTGCAATAGAGGTATGACCTTGGCTGCGCCCACGGTGGGCCGGCGTGGCTACTCGAGGTTTCGACGCGTCGGTCATGGGCCGCTGGTCTGTTTGTGCGGTATGTTGGCACGCCATTGCACAATGCACGCGGCGCGCGCCGGGTACAATGCAGGGCGGACACGGGTGGGCGGCGGACAGCCTGACGTCATAGTTGTCCGGACAGCCGGCGGACACAGGCCGGACAAGGCAGACAAACGAACATGGCAACGGTTACACAGAAAGACTGCCGGCAATCGATGGTCGCTCAGTGGTGCTCGCGGAGGCGGCAGCGGCGCCGCACCGTCCGCTCAGCAGCCATGGCCCCCTCGGCAGCTCTGCTGATCGCCGCCGCCGCCCTCACCGTGGTCACCTGTGTCGGTAGGTCACACCGGGAGACTCGGGGCATGTCGGTTATAGGTTAGCTCTTGGTTATAGGTTAGCTCTTCGGAGGTAAATAAAAGTCAAAATTCCATTTGTATGATTTTTACGAATTTTGCTCAAAATTGCTCAAATTTTTTTGCTTGAATTTGATTTTGATTTTGAGTGACCTTTTGGAATTTAAGTAAAACTGGTGCATAAAAAAGCCACGGCTGAGGTAGCGTGATTCGTAAGACAAAGAGATCGCCGTCCCGGCCCTGGTTAAATCGCTCACTGGAAAAGAAGGAACTAATCAATTTTAACTTGTTAAATTTAAACAGAAAGCTGAAAATGGCTAATCTATAATCAAACCATTCATGGTTCGATGCAGATCCGGAGGACAGTGCTGGGAGGACAGTGCAGCTCGACCTAGAGACTCTAGGTCTCCCGAGGATTCAAATATTTATATCCACTGTCCTGTCATCCTATCGAAAAATTCAATTCAAATCCGTGCATCTCAGTAAGATATTTTGGTGAATGTGTTTATCTCCTGATTGCGACTGGTTTGAGGGATAATGTATTATGTAATGAATAAGACCCCGGTGGATGCCAAGTTCAGCCGGTGTCGTCATTACAGGTCCGGTCGGCGGTCAGTCCCCGCCGCATCTGTACGGATCGGTCCGGTCTCCGGCGGACGGGCCCGTGTCAGACGAACGATCAGACACAGAGCGGGCCGGCCGCCGAGTCCCGCGTGCCATCGACGACATCTACGAACTGGAGATATTCGAGTACGAGATCGAGACGTCCGAGTCGCCAGGAGTCAGCACACAGGTCACCACCGTCGGAGGGGAGTCGACCACCGCGCCGGCCAGTCTGACCACCTCAGACTCACTGACGACTCCATCAGACACCCTGACGACCGCGTCAGACACCCTGACGACCTCCGACTCGCTGACCACTCAACCCGCCACGGTCAGGGCCACGCCGACCCAGACCCTGACCGCTACAGAGTCCGGTCACCTGGTCGATCAGCCCGACGGGAAATCGGCCGGCTTTGCGACAGGACCAGCCGCCGGCTTGATGGCTACCGCCCTGCTAGCGCTCGTCCTCGGCATAGCGCATTAGCATACCGCCGCCAGGCAAACCAGGGTATTTCTGACGGGCAACAAGCTACAAGGTGTAGGCCAAGGAGGCAGAGGCTTTCCATTGTGGCCTCATTTATTGTTTCATTTTGATTTCATTCTCAGTCTCATGGACAATGCCCATTTTTGTTTTGTCCGACTTATAAGTGCCTACCCGTTATATCTCTTCGTAAACAATATGGGTGGTCGAAGTTATTCAGTGCCTGTTTATACGAAAAAATATTGGTAATAAATGAATCCTTTCCGTTATATTTTCTCGGAGAATGAGGAAATTAGTAATAACTTTGTCCAAGATGGCTTGCCATCTCTTTAACACATTGTATCGCTCGACTAGGCCAAAAACGTGTTAGTCTAGATGACGACATGGACACATGTGGCACTAGTGGAAACATGTTCCCATCAGTCCAAATTTCAATGCTGATTGGCGGAAGTCTTCGAAATGGTAACTCAACTTAAACTGAAGTGATAACAATGTGGAGACTGACGAATGTCTTCGGGCAACGGCCAAGTTTTGACGAGAGTGCACTGCAGTCCCGGTATCAATAAAACGACACATTTTTTCGGCACTGACGTGTATTGAAAACACGTCCGAATGATATTGGTCCGGCGATCACAATGTGACTTTTCACCAGCCGAACCACAGTACAGCACAGCAGAAATGTAGGTAGGCATCTTCAGATAAAAAGGTAAATGGTGTTCAGAGATCAGTGTGAAGCAAGGCCCGTTCCGGCATATAAACACAAGAAAAAAATAACGAAACTTCCCCTATAAATGTTTGAGCTTCCCTTGGCAGCAGTCCAAGCACTCCATAACTTGCAATAATCAAAGCTAAGTGCACAAGCACATGAAACTGTACGAGTCACCCAAATAAATTGCCTCTTAAGTCTTATAACGTCCGGTGGTCACGACGAATTTTCACGGCAAATATAACAATGAAACATACTCTCTAATCTACCCAACAACAGCTATCGTTCGTCAGGCATCCGACAGCGAAATGCTTTGTTTTGAGAGAAGTTCCCGATATCCCTGGGACTCAGATCAGAATTCAGCAGCTGATACTGGCGATGGCTACCGCAAAACGTACGAACGGGCCAGGACAGCGGCTGATATCACCGTCTCAGAGGGGCGGGACAGCAAACAACCTTATCCATACGAGCGGGCCAGGGCATCGGGAACCTATCCCCATTTCATCGGGACGGAACGGCGGATATACCCACCCCAGCTCATGTTACCGTACAGGCGGGCCAGGACAGCAGATGTCGCCATCTTTGCTTAACAAGGACAGCAGATATTCCAACCCCAGCGGATTGATTACCGTGAGCTGATCGGATCAGCTGGGCTGTGTCCGTCTCTCACATCTCCCGCTGCGGTGGTGGGTGGAAGCGCCGGTTGAACTCTGCCTCTGAGAGGTGCAGCATCCGACAGCCGCTGGTGACGTGCTCCTGGAAAACGGGCACGGACCAACTCAGATGACGACCGGAACTCCAAACACATAGGCCAATTAAAAGTAACGACACTAAACTTCAATAGCATTCACATGTTTTTTGAATTAGCTTATATCTTCCATACCAGGCCAGCAATTAAAAGTTATATTACACCAGCAATCATTCTGAGCTGAAAATATTGCCATGCATACATCGCGAAACAAACGTAATGTTTCTGTGCACATTTACCCAAAACAGAGCGTGACGGGAAAGGTAAGGTCAGCACGGTAAAACACCACATGAGTAGCTCCCGCCGCACGGCTTACCCGGATGTCTCGGAATTTGACCGACACGCCGATGGGCATTTCGCGGCACAGTTCACACTGCCACTCGGACGTACGGTTGCCGTTGGCGAGGCGCGGATCGTTCTGAAACGAGCGGCATATGGAGACGGTGAGGTGAGCCGCGTCACACATCACAAACTAGCGGTTGGCAGAGGAGCAGAGAACACGGTCCGCCGATCGAGACTCCCTTCAGAAAATAAAGCACAAGAACAAAACCGAACGATTTTTTGCAGTAGTTCATTTTCTTTTTTGAAAATTGAAAATTTACAGAAAACTGGTCCCTTTGATTAACACGAAACACAGAAAAAAAAACGAGCAAAAACTAACAGAATGTAGTGACGAACATCAAAACTCATGCAATAGAGCGTTTCACAGCGAAGATTCACGCCGTTGCGACTGACCTCTCCCGGCAGAAGCAGCTCGTCGTCCATGTTGTGCGTCAGCACGTGGTTCCGGTACGCGTGCGGCGTGGCGTGGCGGGTCCGGCACAGCGGGCACGTCAGCTTCCGCTGCATGTGGTGCTGCTTGCTCAGGTGGGCCTTGAGCTCAGTCGAGTAGCCCACGGTGAGGCCGCAGAAGCCGCACGTGTTGGCCAGGCCGGCGTGGACGTGGTTCAGCACGAGCGCGCGCTCCACGTGCTCCTGACACTGGCGGCAGAAGTGGTGTTCGACGAACTCGCTCTGGGTGTCGGCGCGCAGCTGCTCGGCCTGCTGGAGCAGCGACTGCAGCAGCGGCTGGCCGATACCGGCCTGTCGACAGGCGGCCGTGTCCAGCGGCGCCGGCGACACGGCCGCCGCCTCCTGGCGCAGCCGGTCGAACAGCTCCTGGTACTGCGGCAGCCGCAGCACCTCGTACGACAGCGCAGAGTTGTCCAGCTGGTAGAGCTGGCTGCGGCCCGGCTCCGGCTCGCCGCCGCCGCCGCCGTAGCTGGCTGCCTCGCTCAGCAGACGCTCCACCAGCTCGTCGGGCAGGTCTTCCAGGGTGAGTCGGCCGATCGCCTCCAGACGCTGCTCCAGGGTGGCGCCGGCCGGCGGCTCGGGCGGCGGCGCGCGCGGACCGCCGGCCGGCCGGCGCCGCTCCAGACCGGCCTCTCGCTCCAGGGAGAACACGTGCAGCTCGTCCAGACCGCACCGCTGCCGGCAGACGGTCACAGTCAGCAACGGTCAGCAACAGTCAGCAACGGTCAGCAACAGTCAGCAACGGTCAGCAAAAACATGGGTGTCGTGGTCCATGAACCTATTACAATGTCGATGGACATTATCAATGGGTAAAAACCACATGAGCCACTACTTACATGTGTGTCCTCTTATCCCGCGCGGGGCTGGGGTCTCCAGCCGAACGCGCGGGGCTGAGGAGGGGGGTAAATTTTACCCCCCCCCCCTGTTATCTCCCGAACTAATGGTCCGATTTGGAAAATACAAACGCCAATCTAAAGCTCTCATCACGAACTACTAAAAACATGTACTCAATTTAAAGTTTGAGGTCAAGGTCAAGGTCAGGTCAAGGGTACAAATTGCAAGTTTCTACAGTATGGGCCTTGCACCGTAGTTGCCGAAGAATGGAGTCATGGACTGAGACTGATCGCCCAAAACGTGTTCTTAGGCTACCAAGACAATATTCGTTGCATACAATATCATTCAGAGGTCAAGGTCAAGGTCAGGTCAGGTCAGGTCAGGTCACCAAAAAACAAAATATAGAAAAGGGCATGTGCGACACATGTTTTATGGGTCATTTTACTCATAGAATTCAATAGACACACTCAATAAGTGATATGGACCACCTCTGGATGAATTTCAGGTCGAGGTCAGGTCAAGGTCAGGTCAAGTGAGGTCAAATTTTGAAGTTGGTTGTTAAGGCCTAAAAAGGTGTCTAACTGATGCAGTTTTTCACGGCGAATCGAATGGTGCTATTTTTGTTTCCGTACGAGGTCTAGAACTTCCAAAAAAAGTCATTTTTCAAAAAATTTGTGTGTCGTGACGTCATAAAATTTTGAATAACTCCCACATTTTTGAACCGATTCTTCTAAAATTTGGTATGTAGGTGCACATAGACCACTTCTCTGACATATATTCCGGTTTTTTCGATAAACTCAAAAGTTTGGATTTTATAATGATTTTCCCAAAAAAATCAGTTTTTTGAAAAAATTTAGGCCAAAATCCAAAATTTTCAAAAACCGTGATAGCCATTTGATAGACAAAGTAAAATTACGTATAACCTTTTTTGTTACGTCTTGATTCCTTTAAAAATGAAGATGTTAGCGGCGTTTGAACTTTTGCCGTTTTTGAGGCAAAAATGGCGAACATGACGTCACTAAAACGTCAATTTCTCAAAAATTTTCCGACGGATTTCGCTCAAATTTTCAGGGAACATGTCAAATTGATGTAAGAAAAGGTACTGAAAGTTTGGGCGGCGCTGCGCGCCGCCGTTTTTGAGATATCGCAAAAATTCGCGAGGGGGGTAAAATTTACCCCCCCCCCAGCCCCGCGCGGGTTAAAAAGGACTCAAGTATGCCAAAAGAATAAGCTGAACAAAGCAAAAAAAAAGTCCAAGTATAACCATTGGACATTGACTATTACATCAGTACTATCCAAAAATCATGAAAATAAGGCTAAATGATGAGCATTCTGCTCATCATTCAGCCAGAATACATAAGAGCACTACAATTTGTCACAGGATTCATTTCAGACTCAGAGACACAAAAAACAGTCCAGAAAATCACCAAGGGTCTTACCTTAGCCACTTCAATGACACATCTGCCATGGCGACTTTCCGCCGGCGTCCTCTGGTCACAGAGCAGCAGCTGGTGATGACTCAGCAGTGAGACAGTGCCCAGTGTTAGGCCACAGCGGGGACATGTGTGCCTGCCAATCAGAGTTGATGACAAATTAATACCACTGGTCAAGTGTAACAAGCTGTTCTACAGCAGGAGCAGGATAATGGAAAAATGCAGTTTTCAATGTTCACAATTGCTTGAGACTCAAAAAGGCTGCCAAACAACAGAAGGTTCTGAAATCAGTTAAGATATTTTAAAACAGGCTCAACTAGCACTAAACCACAAAACCAAAGGCAACCTTCAACATCTAGTATCATTCATTGAACTAATAAGTTATCACTATAGAACAGTGCCACTCTGACTCAGTGACTGTTTTTAGCAGAATGCTACCAGTCAGGAATACTCAGGATGCATTTTTAGACTTCTCATTGGTAAATAAACATGAGAACTGTGCTGGTCAGCTAAAGAATGTCAAAATCAAGGCCATATAACCAAAATAGCTACATATACCTATGACAAATCCATACTACATAGGAAATACAGTTACTAAAATTTATCACTGAACAGACCAATCTTGTGCCCTAACCCACAACAACAACAAGAACCAATCTTGTGGGCCAAATCAAAATACACATTATCATTATTGAGACCACTCACTACAAGCTTGACCTGAATCCTTTCACTGGCTTATACAACATACAAAGTAAAAATGTAGCAGGTAGCCAGTTTTAATAGAAATTATTGCGAAAAAATGCATAAATCAATTCCAACAATAATGTACGGCAATTAGGTACAATAGCTCACCCTTCAGAGGATTTCTGCACCACTGAAAGTATTTCAATCTCATCCTTTGATGACATGAAGAAGCCTTGAAATTATATTGAATAATCAAGGCATGCAGCCAATATTTTAGCGCAATAATACAATTTTAGAAATAAATAAAATTACAAACAATGGGTAAAAATGCAAATGCACAGCCCAACACCTGTTCAGAAAACTCTGCTGACACTGCTCAATTTCTGCTGCCAAAACGTTGGACTTATCAGCCGACTAGCGAATCGGACAACTAAAAATTAGGAATAACCACGTTTTCATAGCTTTTTGCGGGTCTTTTCCAGTCTTTTATGGGTCGGAATTTCGGTACGGTGCCCTTCCAAGCGTTGAATGAAATCATTTTGCAAATTGCGAAGCGCCATTGTCTTGCAACATTCGCAGCATTCCGGGCAAAGAACACGAGCATAGCGGAGTCCGATTTTTATTCCCGCGCGAAATTACAAACAGGGCAAAACTGGCCGTGCATATATCTTCACCGCTCATTCAATGATCCCAAGGCTAAATAACCAATGGTCCCCTATATGCATTACGCGCGAGCTGATGGATGCTAATCAGAGGTAATTACCATAGCCATGAAAATGAAAATATACCTACTAGCAACAGAAAACACTCATCACTCATTCCAGAGCGGCCTCACCTCAGACACTGAAATAAATGTTGTTCGCAAGCGGATTAATCGCGAGGGCACTTTGTGAGCATCATTTCGCCAGGATTATAGCATATTTCATTTGACTTCATTCCTTTGATTCAAGGCATATGGCACACCTCATGAACATACATTCGACACATCTACGTAAAACGGCCCACACTGGAGGTAATCCATTTTAATCCAAATGCAACAACGCAGCCGCCCCAATGCCAAGTGCATAAACCGGCAATAACAGTCTAATCGGAGAACGTTTATAAGTTTAAATGCCTGTGAATAACTTTATTATCGGTCCCGGCCCCTCTTAGGTTATCTTCAATCTTCCCCTTCAACGCCAGGAAGTACCGGCATAGGGCTTGCCAGCGCCAGTAGTCAAGTTGAACGACGATTTCTTTCAGATCCGGCAATCAGTGATTGATTGACTGATTGACAGATCTGAAAGAAATAATATTATCTATATAGATAATATTATCTACATGGGGATACAATGCTATGCACCGCTTAGACGGGTAACGCTGGATTAATTATAGCCACTTATACCGTAACCAAAAAGCAAAACGCGCGGTTCCTTCGAATCTTTCGAAAAATAAGCAATATTCTGTCATTGAATAAAAAATGCTCAACTAAAAGAAGAGGAGGCGTCATGCCTTTAGCAGTAACTATAAACAAGAGCACATTTCTTTATTATAAAACAAGCAAACAGTTCAGACATATATCACATCGCCTCCAGAACACCATCAAGAAACGCAAAATTGTTCACAGAGTCAGCGGCAGATTCGATATCACGCTTCTGCACAGTTTTTCTTTTCCCATGTGACAAACAGGTGCCAGCATGCTTGACAAGAGCCTCGATGAACATTTCCTGAAATAGACAAAGCAAATTTGTAAATAAAATTGCTCCATACCTTTTAAAGGGACTATTCCACCTTCTAAAATGTTGTTAAAACCAGTTAAATTGTGCCCGAATTTATAGATTGGATGACCAGGAACACGGTTCTGGCATTTATTTTTCATTAAACATCTTAGGCTTCCCATATTCCAAACACAAACTTTCAAATATGTGACGTCACAGCCCAAAATTACTTCCTTCCCCAAGCCACATTACTGTCATAAAGCTGATTCTTTTTACTCTGTAGGCACCACAACAAAGTTCAGACCAAGTTTTAAGCGATTTTTCAACGAACAAACCCATTTAAATCAGAATGACTAAACGAGGTGACGTCACACTAACGGTCGCTCCATGTTGAAGATAGGGCCTTGTACAAGGCCCATTTTCAAATGAAGGGAACGAATTTCTTCAACACCAAGAGGCCGCGGGGGTTGCAACCTAGATAGATAGTGGTTTCTGAACCTCGCCGCAAATTTGGCTATCTCAACTCAAACCCCATGTTAAAGGTGGGATAGTCCCTTTAAGTCATTTTTCGAACACTCTCGACCATAGGCGCGGGAACCGGCGGAGGGGGCAGAGCGGTGACAACTTGCCCCCCCTCCTCCCCCCCAAGTCTGGGGCCGTGGGGGCGGTGCCTCCACAACGTTGAGACGGAATATCGCACTTTTTTTTGCAAATGTTTCCTTTTTTTGTTGAAAAAGCCAGATAACAGGAATGTGACGCTAAATTATGGAATAGTACGTAACGGCATGTTATAAACTACGTTATACGTACCGTGGCTTTTGAAACCAAGAAGACAGCCTCTTGATTTGCCATAGTGACATCCGGATCAAACTTCATGATTTTCTTTATCTTGGATATGGGCAGAGCGGTCGCCGACCTCGTGGGTGCGTCGGTCGGTTCAGACTGGAAGAGGTCTGTGCCGGAGTCGGGCAGTGCCTCGGAGCCGTATTCGGCGCCGACGTCCTCCGCGCTCCAGACCTCCTCGGTGGGTTCCGCCGCACCTGCGACTCCTGCACCTTGTGGGGATGTGGCGCTTGGAGATGACTCGACCGGGGCCGGGTCATCCATAGTGCACTCCTCTCTGTCCGCCATGACACTGACGGTCGCTTCCTCAAACAAACCCAGTATCACGGGTACATGAGCTGCCGCTAAAACTCCGGGTGATACTCCTGATGGTGACAGAAGTATGATGTTTTACAACAAATGCTGAAAAATAAAAATGAAGGGAGTCACCAAATAGCAATAATCATGTTAAGCTATTTTTGGATAAAAAATATTAATTTTCTCATACAAGGAAGTTAATTGCTAGCATTTCTTATACTCTGTTTGTCAACCACACACATGCACGCACACACCACTGACAACACATGAATGTCCCCCAATAAAAAAGAATAGATGTGCCAGCAATTTGGTGACATGCTGATAAAAATAGTGAGCAGAGTACCATGGCAATGGCAGATTACCAAGTATTTCAACAATTTGTTGTCTATTTCATTGTTAAAATGCATACACTTTTCACTGCTTAAATTTTAATTTGAGATGGCAGAATCAAAGGGCTCAATTCACCCAGCCTTTCTTTCCAGTTTCCAGTCAACTGCTAATTGTTATATGATAAGTCCAGTGTAGGCCATAGGTAGTCATTAGAATACCTGTATCATCCAGTTTGAGTGTTCACGATCTAGCCTGTAACCATGTGAATGATATATGAACAATTTCTGAGGAAAGAACTTCAAGAAACAGTGCATTTTGAATTTTTGTTAGATTGAGCTACAGGTTCATAGAATAAATACAATTTTTATGTCCAATATTATTTCATATATACTATTTCAGCTCTAGCAGTTGCCAGTGTTCACAAGGTGACATAAAACAGTGGAATCTAAAAACAAGGTGTGTGGGGTGATTTGATCAATGCTCTTGAAATTCGCTTGCACATATCACGTGACAATTGGCCTGTGGAAGGCATAGGGAGGGGGAGAATTTCTATGCAGTCATGTGCCTTAATATGCCCTCCGACACCCTGTGTTTAGATTCCACAATCCACCCAAAAAACTCAGCCTGAAAAGAACTGCGTACATCAGGTGGCATTATCAGCACAGCAAAGTGCTAATGACTTCACCCGACTTCACCTGGTGGCTGGTACTTTGTGGCCTTGCACCAGCCACCAGTTATGTCAAATGTACATGCTGATAAATCTTATAGCCTTCAATCCTCCGTAATTAGGTGAACATCAGCATGCTAATCTCAAGGCCGTATAAGAGGCTAACCTGACCTGGCCCACTTTGGCCTTCGCAGGATCAAAATCTTACATCTTACAAGAATGACAAGAATGATAAAATTTAAGCAATTTTTAATTTATAAACCATCTGTTTTATCCAAATCCACTATCTGAGCCAAAATCTCAACCTTAGGGATAAACTCAGCTGCATAATGCACAATGCATACGTGCGGCCAATGCTTCTAAAACAAGGCAAATCCAAATTGAAGTCACTGACCAAGGAATTTGGATAAATCTTCAACTTCTGAGACCCATCAAAACAAAATGCGTGCAAAACCGCCATAAGTAACATCAAAATACCATTAACAATACCTCAAATTCGAAAGAATCCCCAAAAAATATGCGATCCATTCGACTTCGAATGGAATAACGCTTGATCCTGTTCAGTTTGATCAAAGTGGATGCTCTTCTCTCTAGTGTCCATGGCAACCAGCTGAAAGCTGAAAGCAAAGCAGAAATCAAAGAAGGCACTTCAGAGCACTTTTCTTTAAAATTATGTATTTTAAAAACAGAATATTAACAAAACGGAGTCTTTTCACGATAAAAAGCCCATGACTCTTCTAAAACGCTTTAAAAACGTTTTACATGACGTCAAATATCGAAGTCTGTAAGCAGTAAAAGCTTTGCTATCGAACGTAATGTTGCGCTGCCAGCTGCTTTCCCGCCAACATGAGCCACAATAATTATGCCACATGCGAAATTACAAACAAACTCACACTGACACCGTTTGCATTAGAATTTAGTTATGCCGACAATACGGCCAATACCAGCGTTAATCCTCGATTTCCTTTATTCTTATGTCAGCTTTTTGCGGCACTATACTCAGCTTCGGCTCCAAAAGAAAAGCACTGTGAATAAACATTGTGGGAAATAGGTGGGTACCTAAGTCCCAATCGATTTCACATTCCTCTATGGCTGGTTGGATGCCAGTTTGCCGAAGTGACCCTTTTATAAAGCATTTTAAACTTCCAGTGGGATAATATGGGAAAGAAATGCTGCTTGAGGAAATGCTGCTAACGAGGGTAGTAATAAGTTCTGAGGGCACTGCAGTCTAAACCTATCGAAAGGTAATATATTTATAAATGAAAGGTACTACCCAGCTAACAATTTGCCGTTGTTACAACGTTGTTTAAACGTTGTCAAATGGTTACCATAACGTCCCGATTTATCGTTGTGACAACGTAATTTTGTAGACTCCAGACAACGGCGTGACAACGTCATCCGACCATGCATTTGAATGTCATCACAACGTTTCTGTAACGTGGCCGCGACGTCCCAAAACTGTTCTTACAACGTCCCGCCAACGTTATGAAATGTTTTCTGTAACGTACCAACAGTGTTTCTGGAACGTTGTCACCACGTTTCCGCAACGTGACTACAAGGAGTATAGAACGCTTTGGCAACGTCTCTGCGACGTTTTTATCACGTGCGCACCACGTTGTCGCTACTTCGCATTGCCGTCCCTGCGACCCTGAGTAAACGTCCTAAACATTTTCGCAACGCCCTCTCAACGTGTTCGCAACATACTCAGAATGTGTTTCCGACGCTCTCTTCCCGTTCTCTAGACTTGTAAAAAAGGCATGTAAGAAGTGTATATTTCAATACATCATACAGGTCAATTTACAACAAACAAACAAAACGACGGCGGCGGCATCGGTGATGGGGCATGGGGCCCAGGGGCGCCCCCATGGGGGCGTGGGACGGAATTGGGTTCTACCGGCTCTGACGCTAGCCGCTAGCACGCCAGAACTGGTGGAAGTTCACTTCTTTACTAACCCTCGCTGGGAGGATCACTCGGCGGACCGTTAGGCACCGGCTCATTTGCGGCCTCGATGTCCCTAGGCAGCTGGCAGTGCCTGACTAGACGGTATGCGCACCCCCCGTGTGGTGTCGCGAGCTGCTCCCCCCCTGCCCCGGGGCCTGGCGACGCCAGTTGCTCCCCCCTGCCCGGGGGCCTGGCGACGCCATTGGCGGCGCCGGCGCGCAGACGCGGGGTTCGAGAGAGTCGGCCGCCGGCCCGCGCGGAGCGCGGTTGTGGTAGCAGCGATCGGTGTTTGGCGCTCTAGGAAGTTTAACGCAATGCGGCTTTGGTTGTGAATAAAGAGCTCACGTTATAACATCCTGGCGACGAGGATGAGATCAAGGTGAAGCCTTGGAGCTGTGATTGCGAGTGATGGCGAAACGGGCCAGTGATCAGTGCGCGGTGGTCAGCGAGGGCGGACAGGCCACGGACGGTGAGGGCGCAAACGTTGCTTAGTACGAATGCTTAGTGCTTAGTATTGCTTAGTATTTTTATTTTCGCGCTGCTGCTGGTAGTGTGCCTGTCGCGCGGCGGCCGTTGTCCTGGCAGGGTTTCCCATGTGATCGCCGAAATTCGTGGCGGCCATGATGCCTCGGCAGTGTGGTGTGCGTGGCGCATGCGTCGGCGTCCTGCACGCTGATTGGTCGGCCGGGGGTGACGCGCAGCTGTGGTAGCGCGTGTGATTGGCCGATCGGTGCGGCGGAGAGGGCCTCAATGCGGTTTGAGGCGCCTGGTCCCTGAAGCGGGCAATTTCGGCGGGAAGCTGGCGCGCGGCCGGGCGGTGTGGGGCGAGTGCGCATGCGCGCGCGGTGACGTGCGTGTGACGTCACTACCACGTGACGCCCCCGTCGAGAAAAGCGCGGGAAACCGCAGCTGCAGCGCCAAGTACAGGCGCAGGGCGGCGCGGTGAGCGGTGACCGGTCGGCGTGAGCGGTGGCCGACCGGCGTGTGCGGTGACCGACCGGCGTGTGCGGTGACCGGCCGGTGTGAGCGGTGACCGGCCGGTGTGAGCGGTGACGCCCGGCTGCGGGCCGACCGGTGGAGCGGCTGCGGGCCGCCGGTGGAGCGGCTGCGGGCCGACGGTGGAGCGGCCGCGGGCCGACGGTGGAGCGGCTGCGGGCCGACGGTGGAGCGGCGGCGAGCCGACCGGAGAAACGACGTGCTGGTGAGAGGGCGGCGGCACGATGGATCCAACGGGGATGCAGATAGTGTCTGCGGTGCCGTACCGTCCAGGCACGGACTTTGAAAAGTGGCTCCGGGCATTGGAGCGGTATATGATCGCTGTTGACATTCAAGGGCCTGCGAGACGGTGTGCAGTCCTGTTGCACCTGGTGGGCCCGGACCTCGCCGATGTCAGCGATTCACTGCCTGAGGAGGACGCCGAGAGACAGGGAGAAGACGAGTTTGCTCGCCTGAAAAGGAAGCTAACACGGTATCTGGTGCCGAAGAATAATGTGGTGGCGGAAAGAGGAAAGTTTCAAGGGATGAAAATGGAGCAGGAAGAGAGTCTGGAGGAGTTCCTGGGCAGACTACGGACGCAAATCCTGCGCTGCGGCTACGAGCCGGCGCAGGTGGACCGTGAGTTGAGAGACCGATGCGTCCTGGGCAGCCGAGGTGAGCTACAGAGGAAGCTGGTCCGGGAGGCGGCGCTAAAGGGTGACGACCTCTCTCTGGAGGACGTCCGGCGGACGGCACGGGCGCACAGGGACGTGATGGATCTGACGACGCGGCTGTCAGGGGCGCCGGCGCCGGCCGAGACGGACGGGGAGGCAGTTCACCTGGTGCGACGCCCGCAGCGGACGGAGAGGGTCAGGCCGACCGAGCCCCCGGGGCCAGGCACGTGCTTCCGCTGTGGCGGCCGGGGCCACTGGCGGCGCCACTGTCCCAGCGCGCAGTCGCGGCAGGCCGGCGCGCGGCCCCGGCAGGACGGTGCGCAGCCGCGGCAGGACAGCGGGCAGCCACGGCAGGACAGCGGGCAGCCGCGGCAGGCCGGCGCGCGGCCATGGCGGGCCGGCGCGCCGCGCTGCTTTCGGTGCGGAGAGCGTGGGCATCTGCAGCGTGACTGCGGCAAACAGCGAACTGGCGTGAAGCTGGTTCAGGACGGCGACCAGGCTGACTGGCAAGTCAGCGCCGTGCAGCCAGCCGCAGCTGAGTGGGCGACGGTCAGGGTGAACGGCCAGGAGTTCACCATGCTGATCGACACTGGCTCACCGGTGACTATAATCAGCGCGGAGACTCACATCCCCGGTCTGACGCTGCGGCCGAGTGAGCTGCACCTCACGTCATTCACCGGCCAGCAAATCCGTCTGCGAGGCGAGGCCGACGTCAACGTGGAGACGGACGGCCGAGCGACACGGCTGCGACTCGTCGTGTCCGACATGGGCTCTCACCGACCTCTCATGGGACGAGAGTGGATCAAGGCGCTGAGGACGGCGTCGGGTCTGGAGACGCTGAACGTGTGCCCGGTGGCGACTCAGCCGACGCTGAAGGAGGTGATGGACAAACACCGTGAGGTGTTCAAAGAAGAACTGGGCAGAATCCCGGTGAAGGTGGCGCTCAGACTGAAGGAAGGCGCCAAACCGGTCTATCGACGCGCCAGACCGGTGCCGTTTGCGCTACAGCAAGATATCGAGCGGGAGCTCGACAAGTGGCTGGATCAAGGGATCGCCGAGAAGGTGCCTCCTGGACACTTCTCCGGATGGGGTACGCCGCTCGTACCCATCCCCAAGAAGGACGGCGTGCGGCTGTGCGCGGACTATCGGATCACGGTGAACCCGCAGCTGCAGCCTCTGAAGTATCCGATGCGCACGCCGGAGGAGCTATTCGCCAGCATACGAGGGAAAAAGTTCTGCAAGCTGGACTGCAGGAACGCCTATCTCCAGTGTGAGCTGGACGAAGAGAGCCGAGAGATGACCACCGTGACCACACACCGTGGTGCGATGCGGATGAACCGTCTCCCGTACGGGATCAGCACCTGTGGAGCGCAGTTCCAGGCGATCATGGACCAGGTGCTGGATGGTCTTCCAGGAGTCGTCTGTTACCTGGACGACGTGCTGATCGGCGCCGACAGTGACCGTGAGCTGATGGACAGGCTGGACCGGGTGCTGGAGCGGCTGAAGGACAACGGCGTCCGCCTCAAGAAAGAGAAGTGCCAGTTCGGAGTCCGAGAAGTGGTGTATCTCGGTTGGCGACTGTCTGAGGCGGGTCTGCGCCCGGTGCAAGAGAAGACGGCGGCCGTCACAGCAGCACCTGACCCTCGGAACGTGCAGGAGCTGCGATCTCTGATCGGGTCAGTTAGCTATTATCAGCGGCTGCTGCCCAACCTGTCTACCGTGCTAGCGCCGCTCTACGCGCTACTGAAGACGGGCGTCAAATGGGCATGGACGGCGGAGTGCGCCGCGGCAGTGCGCCGTGTGAAGGACATGCTGTCCACGGCGCCGGTCCTGATGCGGTACGACCCCGTGCTGCCGCTGCGGCTCGTCACGGACGCCAGTGCGACAGGAGTCGGAGCGGCTCTGATGCAAGTGACGCCCGAGGGGCTCGAGAGGCCGGTACAGTACGCCTCCCGAACGCTCACTCCGACGGAGAGGAAGTACGCCC